CCCCAAAACCCCAAAACCCCAAAACCCCTTCAACTATAAACATTATTGAATAGTTAATCTGACCAAGAGTCGTTTTCCCTATTAAGGCTTGGGTTGAACCCTGATTTGAAGATATCTCCGAAAATCTTAATGTCAATTTCTCCTCTCTCAAGGCTATCTCGAAGCTTATGGATATCTAACTTGTCACTGTTTTCACTAAGGACTTTATTTTGCTCAAAAAACTTCCAGACATCATTAGCGTAGCTGAATTCATCGTCAGCGTCTTGAGTAAATCTCCCTTTGGACAACTTCTCGAAGAAATCAACAATTTGAGCTTTCTCAACGTTCATGATATTATCTGGGTCTAGTATACGAGTCCAGAACTGGATAAGCTCACTCTTATGTGCAGTTCCGAAATCTAGGATACTGTTCAAATTAAGGAAAGATCTAAGGTCTACTCTTGGGTCTTTCGAACCAATGTCGACCCCAACTCCTTTCAATATCTTTGGGATAATGTCTTGGTGCTTATCTGCAAGAAGTCTAGTGCATTTAGTGAGTGTCTCTGGCTTTATACCAAGTGCTCTTTTGGCTTCCTCGCCTTCTGATCTCTCAGAGTTGATAGTTCCATCTTCAGGATTATACTTAAGATCATCACTGCTTATCTTCACTAGCCCATTATATTGGGTGATGAGTTCATATACTCTGTTCACAGGGATCTGATATCTCCTGGAGATCTTCTTAATTTGCTTGTAGTTTAGATCTGGGACTAAGTCTTTTGAAGAGCTTTGAAATGGTTTATCATGCGGAGCTTCCATTTTCTGTGAAGACAGATTCCCAGATTTTAGAGCACTCACCAAACCTTGTGATGATCGCTTCAGAATTGACTGTTTTCGAGAGTTTATCTTCTTTTGCTTCAGTTTACTGTTTCTTGCTTTGTTTACAAAAGAGCTTGCTCTTGGATCAAGTTGATCATCTGAAGAACTGATATTTTCAAAACTATCTTGAGAGTAATCCTGCTATATGTGAAAGTAAAAATAGAGATCTAAGGTTGAGTTCAAACATTGCAAACTTACCTCCAGAGCCTTTGGACTGCTATTCAAAGGAGCTGCCTTAATCACCTTGCTACCAATATGAATATTGCTTTCCTCATTTCTAAATGATAAATGTTGACCCTAAACTGTCTTACTTCTTCAAGTTATACTCTATATTCTCTTTAGAGATCAGCTTCTGCATATTGGCTTTCCACTGATGTAAATTTTCTTGGCAAAAGCCAGCCATGACTCTTTGCATTTCTTTACGATAATTCTTAGGATGCATTGTAAGTTTTTTGTCCTTCTGAAGCTCTGCTTGTGTATATTTCCTCAATTTTTTAGCTGTTTTATAAGGCTACAGAACTTACCAAGCTGGAGTTTGGACTCATGGACTAATAATAATAAGTTCTCATGCCTATGGCTTGTAAAGTTTGCCACTCTTTCACCAGATGTAGTATAGATATAGTGGAATGGAGTCTTCTTTTCATCCTCAATAGAGTTCTCGATTTTACTATCCAAGAACTCTATGGTGATCACTTGGTGGTTTTGAAGTCGTCTCTGACGATAGCGTTGCTCTAGGATAATCTCATTTCATTGATTTAACACAGATCTAATGGGAAATGCTTCGAAATCTCCTTCTGGCTCATGAATTTTCCCAATAGGAAGTTTAAAAATACCATGGGTTTTCATCTGGATTTCACCATGCTTTCGAATCTTGCTCAAATAAACTTCGATGTCAGAGAAAATTACAGATTTTTCAAATATTCTTTTAGAAGCTAAGGATTGGGGAAGCTCCACAGTGGAGTTATTCTTGATCATATTGAACCGAGAATTAAGAGGTACAGTCTTCTTACTCTGAATATTTCTCCCAGGAGTAAACTGGGAGGAATTCTTACTGATATTTGACTTCATAGTTGGCCCTTTCTTTAATTGCTCCATTAAATGGCATACACTTTTATTCTTCCGCTCCCTTGCCGCCTCGAGGCTGGGATGCTTATGAGAGTTCTTTTTTGCCAAAACAGAAAAATTAGAGAATTTTGTAGGAAGTTTGATCTTTTTGTTAGTTTTCTGAACTGAGCGGTTACCTTTATGTCTCCGATCGCTAATTGATAGCATTTCTGAAGCATCACCAAACCTTGGTTTCTCAATTTTAGGGAAGTGAGACTTTCTGACAGAATTCATTGGTTTAGTCACGTCTGAATCAACTCAGACATAAAGGTCATCTTCTTTAGGAAGATGATAATCTGAATCAAGAGCATGAGTATATTCAGCATTTATACTCTGCTGAACTCTAAGCCCACTTAGATTCCTTTGGTTATTGGATAAAATTCTTTGTGTTGGTGTCTGTTTAATTTCAGTTTGAAATCTATGCAGCCTATATCTATTTGAAGACTAAATTTACCTCTTTGAAGACATGTCTTCATAACTTGGACTTCTCTCAGTTCCGATTTTGATCTCTCTGTAAGTGTAATTAACAGGAGGTAGCATTTTCTTCTGTATTTTATCTTAAAATATTTTTAATTTTAAGCAACCTCAAAACTTTTATACCTAAAATGGGGTTTTGGGGTTTTGGGGTTTTGGGGTTTTGGGGTTTTGGGGTTTTGGGG